CCCCCCCCATAGTTTAGATCTCAAAAAAATGTTAACATACTTGTTTCCAGATTTAAAACATTTTTAATACAATTTACTATTTATACCTACCCAAAAAGAAATAGAAATGAAAAATCAATTCTAGAGGAAGGCAACCTGAGAACTCCACTATCCATGTGAATGGATTATATCAATGAAAAGCACGTACTCAGTGATGAGAACCTGTCTCACCACTGCCAAACCATGAACCCACCAGAAGTCACCACGGCAGAGAAAAGGGATGCTTTGTATTCCCAATGAATGACACTCCTCATTTTGTTCACCACCAAAGGCACCTGCCCCTAAGAGGACTTTGCTCATTTGTTTCTTATACAGGTCTCTCCAACACTAAATCCAACTCAAGTTCCTATTAGTCTTTTGTCTTGAGACCAGCTTGACTGGTCTGAAGGATCTTTGCCCATCACCAGTATCTTCAGGAATTGGACCATTAAACTTTCATATTGAGATTACAAGAACAAGTCTTCTCACAAGAAAAGGTTTTAGAGATTTTTTTATTGGAGTAGTCAAAAAACAGCAGAAATTTTCCTCTTTCAAAAAAAGAAGGAACTCACTTTAACTTAATTTTCCCATTAAGTACAACACAGAATACAGTCAATAAAAAAAGAGATGCAAGGAAGGAAGAAAGAACCAAGCTACTGAAGGTGGCAGAGGAAGGAAAGGGAAAGCGTGGAAGATAAGAAGGGGGGAAGCGAGACAAAGATGCATCTGGCAAAAACAAAAGGACAGATCATAAAGAAAGGAAAAAAAAAAAAACAACAAAAAAAACCCCCCAAAAAAGAGTCGAAAGCCAAAAAACTACATACAAAACATACAATAGCCCTGACTGCCTTGGGGAAATTGGAAGAGAATTAGCCCACTGTCCTACTGTGATTTAATAGAGGTTCCCATCTCCTGAGGGGTACTCAGATTTTATGAGATTTTTACTATTATACAGAGAAATGAAAAGAGAGAGAATGAAATTAATAAAATATTCATTCTGTGTATACTAAAAAGAAAAATCTTTCTCTATTTTATGAAGGAAGAAAACTTGAAATATTTGGTTGATTTTAACATATTTACTTGCATAAGAATACTTCTTTTAGAAATGGTAGAGGGAATACTTTCATGTGAGCTTAGACATAAGATACTTTGGCTAAGAGCCCTAAAGTACAATGGCATTTACTTATAGCCCTGAGGACAAGACTAAGAGCATTCTCAGTTCCATCTTCATATATTCTCATTTCAACACCTTCACCTTCCTGTTTCAGTTTCAAAAAGCTGAGCTGTTATTCAACACAAAGAATCTGAGAGCTCTAAAGGACTAAACATGAAATGCTTATTTCAGTCTCACATCACCCACGATACTGTAGTTTCCCAGTTTAATTTAGAAATATCAGTTAAACCAAGTGATATAAAAACCACATATCTTCTGCTTGTTTTTTCAATCCACCTCTCAAGTGGCACAATTCTGAAGCCATCTTCAAAGAACAAAATTGTAAAATGTAAAAAAGAAAATACAGAAAATATCTTTTTCTTTATTGCAATGGCTCCCTCTGCAGCCATTAATAATACTTTCAGTTTAAACAAAAAGTACTAGTTTATTGCTTTCACCCTATTTCTAATATACGATTGCCATTTTAACAGTAACATGGAGGTACAGCAGCTGCTCCAGACATCCTGTAAATAGGAGGGGGAAAAGAAGAATAGTATTCTTAGAATAAAAAGGAGAATAAATTCACTGAAAAGATTCAAGTCTTGGAGTGTGATGTTGACTGCATTACTGACTTCCATTTTTTCATTAAAACAAGGAATCTGTTTTCATCAGTTATATCTTTTCCCTTCTTCAATTTCTTATGTTGCATCTTTATCCATTGCATTTCTTCTGTCTTCTTTACATTCTACTCCCTTATCTTGTACTTAATCTATTTCTCTTTCCGCTACCATCAGCTTTACTATCTCTTCTTTCTTCATGTCATCATCCTTTATGCTTTTCCTACAACCTCCGAAGTGTACACAACATTGAAAGTTTCCCCAATGCCTTCAGTAACCCCTGCCATAGCCAGCTGCCACTTAAGAATCATTCCTGAACATTTGTGAAATAGATGAAAGTAGAAGAATTTCCTGCCTTACAGGCATTTAGATGAACACCAACTGCCAGAAAGTCCTGCCTGTTCATTGGAAGCACAAGAATCTTGTTTACAGAAAGCAACAGAGTCAAAAATAGAGTTTCCAATGCTTTTGAATTCATGACGATCCTTATCGCTTGCCTGCAAATCATGTTTACTTTAGGAGAGGTACCTGATACTGAATTGAGATGAGCCTCCTTTTGTTGCTTTGAAAGCATGATGAAATGAAAAGCAGATCAAGAAGAAACACAGCAAAGATAATGCAAGACACTATGTTTTCAAAAACATATTTCATGGACTTATAGGCCATGGACTCATAATTTGACACTGTGTGATATTCAGGGGTAGATAGAGCCCTGTGTGGCTGTGCAGCTCCAGAACCACAGCGTTTCACATGGCATGGCGTGCTTTTCCCTTCCTGTCCAGAGGTCGTGCAATGGAAGCACATACCTTGCAACCCTATACCGGGAGGGCAAAAGGTGAGCTCAAAAGGGCCAGTTGAACCAGAAGCGGTTCCTTGTCCATGTTTTGTGAGTTACTGTTCTCTAGAAAAATCCCAAGCCACATGCAGCCCACTGAAGTCAATGGGGTATGCCTTTACAAACCAGATTAATGTTCTTCCTTACTCTCTGAGCGTGAATCTGCCACCCAAAAAATGTCAGTTATTGAGAACAAAAACCTGCTCTACAACATACTAATTCCACCTCCCAGTCACCTGGTGCTTTGTGTGTAGGAGCTATTGCCTTTGTATTTTCCATTTGAAAAGATGGATCCCTCTGTGATATCTACGTATTTTGGCACATTCTGAAAACACAGAACCAATGATAACAATAAAAATAAAGTATGCTATTTTATTTTTAAAATATCACTCATAGCACATAACTCAGCTCAAAATAGATGCTTGAAGGTACATCTAAATCACTTAAAAGTACATAACTTTTTGCTGGCTAGTATGTAAAAAAAAAAAAAAAAAGAGGAAAGGGAACAACAGTATAAATAGAAGAAGCTAGGACTCCTGATACTGAAAAGGAAAATAATCAGCTCTGCTTCTGAAAGTAAGAGATAAACAAGGGGGAACCAAAAGTAAAAGTAACAAAGTTTAGGTATACTTCTGACTTCTACCGTATGCAACCACTTCCAAGGATCACCTACGATACAAAAAATGCATTGATAGCTAGCCTGATACCTAGCAGGTTGAAGCAGTTTATTTCGTTATCACTTCTAATGCAAATGATCTACCAAGATTAAAAGAGAAAAGACTACGTACATTCACTTACAATTAAATAAGCACAAACCAAGTCATTTAAGTAGCTTACATGAACAGGATCCAAAATTTTGACTGCTGCTTTGCTGCCATTTTTCTTATTTAACACCTTGAAAACTTTTCCATATGTTCCTTTGCCAATAGTCTCAATTATTTCCCAGGTATCTGAAGGATCAGGAAAGCTATCAAATATTATTGTTTTCCCAGTCAACGGAAGCATCTCAAATGATGGCTCCTAGGAAAAAGAGATTTCAATGTTCACTCAACAAATGGTTAATAGCAAGAGAAATACACATTCCAGTCTCAAACACTAGAAATGTAGTTCGCATGCACTGAAAACAATGAACAAGAAATGCTGCACTTAATACATGTATGTGCAGTCAACACAATATCAAATGAAAGCAAATTCAAATAATAATTTTAACTAATTTCAGGCTTGAGTGAAGTCAGCAGAAGCTTTCCCCATGCACTTCAACAAAACTATAACGTCACTCTGGGATTTTTTGAGGGGCAGGGGAATGGGAGACAAGTTCATAAAATCCAAAAGAATTTGGCTCCATTACCAAGAATCAGGCAAAAAAGGAAAAAAAAACAAGCACAAAATAAAACATGTTAAATAGTAGCATTAGGTTCATTAAAACTTGTGCAGCAAACGGTCAGTTTTATAATCCTGCTCTTACCATCTGAATTTTTATATAGATCTCATAAGATCAAGCAGATCAAAGTGGCAGTTCTTTTCACATTATTATGGTCTTCTGACAGCCAAGCATTCACAGTCATGGAAAACATGTTTACTGATGTACATTCATTAACAACTGTTTTACATATTGTAAAGGAAACACCTTTTACAATGATGGAATTGTATCCATCACTGACCAGGTTACACCTATGCCCTGGTCCATGACGGATACAATTCACTTACACATGCCTTCATAGTGACTATCCAGCAGCTACAGTGGTGAAAACAAAGCACACAGCCACCCACAGACAAACAGCAACAAAACAGAAGCCCCACCTTTACCCGTTGTTAAGAACAGCCAAAAACTCAACAGAAATGTGTTAAAAATTACATTCTCATATTTTTAATTGTAGAGCCAAGACTGAAAAAGAAAAGGGGCAGGGAAGAAGACAGACTCAAGCCCTTACTAAGCAAGCAAGCAGTAAGCGAGACAGCTACGGAGTGCTTAAGTCCTTCCTGAGCCCAATATGCAGTAAATGAACCAGGTTTGGAGAGCCATTTTCCTATACCTATTCTTTAATTTTTTATATAATACTTTATAAACAGACTACAATGTAATTCTTGGATTTTTTTTTTTTTTGTCAAAGGCACAAATCTACACACATAAAGCATTTTATGTGATATTACTCCAGTGACAGAAATTGCATCATGATACCACACTACTTTTTTTGACAGAGAGTAAGTTTAATTTCAGTTTCATCCATGGCTTCCAACATACTAGCCATACTTTCTTTATTCATCTGCTAATTCATATAACGATGTACATCCCACTACACATGCAGCATGTATATCCACTATATATATATAGTGTGTATACCAACTAGAAACAACAGAAATAGACTGCTATACAAACATATGTTGTACCAGCTCTTTTAATCATCTGACGTGCATACTGCCACATCACGTGTATTCAGATTAATTTTCTACTGGATAATACAAGCTCGCCTGGGGAACACAGGGCTCAGGATTCTTCCCATCATTCTTGTCTTGGTTGATCAGCTCACTGATGAGTGAGAGGACAGAGTTTTCTTCTCTCTCTCCCTACCCCTTCCTTTTAAAAAAAATATATACATGACTATTACCAACTTCTATGCCTGTTCATGCAGTGAAGTGGTGAAATATCCTCTTAACACCAGGAAACCTGCAGCAATCTCTTGGGTACCAAGGATGGCAACCAGTACTGGCCCAGCACCTTGATTTCAAGGGCTGTGGGAACAAAATGAACCAATTTTACCTGCTACAGTGAAATCTCCCTCAACACAAATCCAGGTTAAGGTCAAAGTAAAGACAGAGGATCAAGATCCAGAGACACATAGCTGTAATACGTAAAACCTGAAATTTCCATTCCAGGTTCAAAATTTGCTTTTTCCTTCTGTCCAGCACTCCCCCTGGGATTCATATAGACACAACTCAGCCAGCACATTGACTACAGTCTCTTCCTAAGGCATCACTTTTCCACCTCATGCCTAGTATTTATCCATACCATGGGAGCTTCACCACTTTCAGGCAAAGCCATCTCTTCCCCAAAAAATGAACACAAATGAGCTATGTTGGTTTTGGAACTTTCTGTTTCTTTTGCCTACAAAATAGTGTTCAAATACGACTGTTTTGGTGGTTGTTTTTTTTAAATCACTTTATATGTATATATAAATGCTTTGCAATTAGCTCATAATTGGGACTACACAAAATAATAACCAAATTGGGGATGACAAAGGGATTAGGATTCATAACCCCAAACCCTTGCTTGGAGGGATGCAACAATGATGGAATGATGGAATTTCAAAATCTCTCTATCTGAGCTTTAGTTTTTAGAATTGAGGTTAACTATTTGTTTAAAGTTTTACTGGATACTCAGTCCATAACTAGTGATTTTTTGGGGAGAAAAAATAGTAGAGAGCTATCAATGGGCACCTTCATAAGAACTAAGACGTCCAAATCATATTGGAGTCTGTCTACATACAAATCATTTTCTACAGAATATGTAGTCTTCCATCAAAATCTAGGGCCTGTTATGTCCCACATTACAAGAATACACAGTAAGAGCCCCTGAGCCAGGCAGCTTACAGTAGGAGATATGCAGAAGTTGGAAGAAAGCAAGACTCATTTCCTCCCCTTCAAAGACAATTACTTAAGATGCAGGAAAGCAAAGACCAACTTCACATATTTAGCCTGTGTCAGAGCCAAGCAGGGAACTCCGATATCTCGAATCTTCAAGTATACCCTTAAGCAAAGGTCCACCCCTCCTCACAGAGGTTTTACAGCAAGTAGAACATTCTAAGAAAAAACATGTACATCAAAACATGCAGCTTCAGACAGCTTCCCAGGCTTCATTAACTTCCTATACATTAACAGAATGCAGCTGAAATTCATTGACTCCCAGTATCAAATGCTTATTTGTCTGCGGAGACTGGTACAAGGAGAACTCTTAAAGGGCTAAGGAAACATGATCCTGCAGGTGCGATTTGGCTACCAAAGAACAGTGCTAGAGACACTGTCATATGCTTGCATTTTCCTCTGCAAATTACACCAGTTGCAGATCATCTTGTCTTAAGAAAAGTCACTACATACTTAACAATAATGCATTCAATAGCTGTCATACTTAGCTGAATAATTTAAGAGTGTTATTCCAGAAAGAATTATTCACCCTAATAATTTGTCTTTTGATTTACAGCTTCAAAATCATAACTTGAATAAGTTATATTGAACATCGTATTTCCTCACTTCCACCATGTTTAAGAACAAGCCCCTGCAGATAAATTGTTTAGCTTCCACTTCTATTATTAAAAATATATTAAACAGAATGATTTCAAGTGTTCTGTTCTGGGTGATGAATGATGTTTTATTACATCTCAGTGAAGTTGAGAAAGCTGATAACAATTTAACCTCGTATTTCAGCAATAAATTGGACTGTCTCTGCAATACGTCTGGATGCCCAAACAACTAGGTAATTTATCATACCCCTCACCATTAAAAATTTACTTTAAAAAAACCCCTCAACTTACAACTTGGCCCAAACTTCTGAGCTAAAATGTACCCTTGAACCTCTATAAAAACCCTTTAAAATACTGCTGGTGTGCTCAGCATGACAGTTCACTCAACTTCTGCTTAGATTTTGGCTAACTTGGCTCCTGCTAAGGCCTGATGTATGCTGGGAGCAGCACCATTAGGTCAAAGCAAGAGCACCATATAGGCAGGACAGGTGGTCAGAAAGAGCTGAAGGGCCAGTATGCACCATTATCACCCGCAAACCCTGCTGTCTCCAGCACCCATTATCTTTTGCCTGGCAGTTTCCTCAGAATCTGCTAACTTAGGGAAATAGTACAGGCCAAACCTCCAAGCTGGAAGGTATAAAACATCAGCTTACCCCAAAAGCTTTTGAAGCAGATCCAACAGCAGCTGGACTGCTGAGGCTTTCCTGCTTCCTGGTGTGATACAGGGGATGTCTGCACTGTGATGAGAAGGAAGGGATGAGCACTGTTGCCTCCAGCTAGGTAACTAAGTCTCTTTTTTTTTTTTTTGTTCTCTCATAAGTGCATAAATTAAGAGTGATGTTTCTAAGTTATGAAACCTTATGACTTGAATGGTGAATAAGTGAATTCACATGATGAGACTGGCCTGGGCAAAAGGGGATTGAGCCCCTGTTTGTTGTGTTTGTTTGCTGTATTTCTTAATGAGCCCATGAAACTAAGTTTAAATCACAGAGTGTGTTGTCCTGTAAATTTGAGCGATCCAAATGGACTGTGGTATTTTATTGTGTCAGAAGTGGCATCGCTCTTGGACATGTTCTGTTAGGAAGCACAAGCTGCTTTTGCCATGCCTGTTGAGGCAATCGATTTGGTGTGAGTGTAAAGATATTGTCTGTATGCCTGTTTGTCTGTGCCACGGTGAAGAATATAAAAAAAAAATAAAAAAAAATCAGACAGATAAGAGCCAACAACTGGGAGAAAAATTTGAGAAGGAGGGATGGTGAAATCCCAAGTGGGATTTCACGTGCATCGAGAACCACTGCATGAATGCATATAATATTTGGCAGGAGTTTGCCAGATGGCAGACTTCTTGTAAATTAAAGAAGGGAAAAGGGAAAGATGCTATATGCTGGGTACTAGGCAGTTGTCTTAGAGCAGCAACAGATGTGATTGATGATTTGAAAGGGGAAAATGTATGGTTGAAAAAGGAAAATGAGGAAAAGGCAAATGAAAAGAATACTAGGGAAGTAAAGTGTAAGCAACTAGAAATACAAAATAGACCGCTTGAGTCAAAACTTCAACCCCAGATAATTGCAGAAGCTGAAGAGCGCAGGAGGAGGATGCTGGAAGCTACTATGGTGGACCTTGTTATTTACTGTCATGTATGATGATTGGGATGGGGATATCTGGAAACAAGCAGACCTGCATTCCCTCAGGGCAAGGCGATAATGAGGAAGATTCCCTGCACCAGTAACGAAGACTGAACAACAGAGCAAGCCTGCCAGGGCACAAAAGCCACCTCCT